TCTAACTTGGCATTTAAAGTAAGAGGCTTACGACTCCTCTTTTTATCGCTACTACCCTTAGACGTCTTTGTAATTACACTGTAGTAACACAAAAATATTATATAAATATACAGTTTGTAATAACTTTGAAAAATTGCCAGAAATACGGAGACGCGGAGCGCACAAAAACTGTAAACAGGCTGAATCAGCGACGATAAAATGGCGCCGGATGCACTTCTCTGACTCAGCTGTTGAGCGCCGTATTAGCGAATCGCCGTAAAGCGGAGCGCCGAAAAGCAGGGCCCTACTGTACTATCTTTTTCAACTCTTTCATTCCCTTTTTCATCTCCTACTCCCTCCCTTCCTGGTGGCATAAGTTTGTAGTCAGCATAAAATATGTACTTGTTTTATGAATATTATGAGGGTTACAGAAATTTAAATTTATTAACTGCTGATATTTTTTTACTTATCACCTGTCTTGTTACTGAATGTCGAGATTGAGAGGTTAGCAAGTCTGGCTTCATATTCATTGGGTTACAGGTTCAGTTCTCACCCTTTGGATCATCTGTCTTGACCGATTATTTAGTGAATTCATCATATGTAAGGATGTACCTTAAAAAGAGAGTGACAGTTTTTATTTTCATCCATCACTCATCCTGCATTTGCTGCTTTATGACCTACATAGTTAAGAATGTATTGATACATAAACTGGGAAACAAATTTAAAGGTTTTCTTTTTTAAGATTCTGTGTTGACTTGTCTTCTTTTATATAACAATACCTCTTTATAGTGTCAAATAGAAAAATGATTGTGAATGATAATCTCTGTCAGGACAGCCATCCTATGGGCTGTGAGTCAGATCTTTGAACTCTTAAATACAGAGTGGGTTCACAATGTTGCAGATGTTCGTGGCTTGAAGTCCGGAGAGGAAGTAGAACGTCTTCGAGAAAAAGTTTATGCTGCATTGGAGGAATACACTCGCACAACACATCCTGATGAACCTGGCCGCTTTGCCAAGCTGCTTCTACGTCTCCCGTCACTCCGTTCCATTGGGCTCAAGTGCCTTGAGCACCTCTTTTTCTTCCGACTAATTGGTGATGTACCCATCGACGAATTCCTTGTGGAAATGCTAGAGTCAAACCACTAGATCCTTAGACAAGTCTGTGTTTTAGCATGGGTGTTTTCAAGTGTCTGAGTCATATTATGGCTCATGAGTCATGGTAATTTTAATCAGTAGGCCATTAGCATTGTTTCACTGTTATGCCATTTCAACTAAATATGTTCATTTCCATAAGGGACTTTGGTATATTCTTTTAAAATTTAAGTGCACAGTCTAAATAAAATTTGTTTTGTTTCCAAACTCATGGCTGCTTCTGAAATTGAATGAACAATTCAGGTCCTTAAGTGTATGAACATGTAACATGCTGGTCTATGTTTTGTTAATCATCATGTATGGAATGTTGTCTTTAGAAACCCATTGCACAGTATGTGGAAGAAGCTGGAGTGCTGGGTTTTAATAATCAACATATCTGTTCCATTTATTACAAGATATTGAAGCTCAAATCCTTTATGCATGTGTGGCACTTGAAGTTATAAACTTCTTATAACTTGGATTATTCAGGAATTTAGTTAAATATGAATATAGTTAAAGGGATACATTTTACTCTGAAACTCATCTACTTCATATGTAATTTCATGTGTCGTTTACCATCATACTTGCTTCTTACGGTCATGTTTACAAGTCTTTTTCTAAGTTAGAAATGTATGAAATTGTTTTCATATTTTCCATAGAACGTTTTACAGTTTCATACCTTTGTCTTGTGGAACAATGATATCTGTATGGTGGCATTGTTCTAGTAACGTAATAATTTGGATTGTTGCAGTGAGAAGTATAAAGAAAACCTTTTGTTTGTTAGTAATGAAAATTTTGTCATCTTGCTTCTTGTGCTGATCTGTGCAGATTTACTTCACATTCTCCTTTTTGTGTATCCTGAATAAATTCAGTACAAAATGTATGTTTACAAGTCGAGTAATTGGAGCACCATATTTATTTTTGTTCATTTACATAAATTAGCCAAAATATCTTAGCCAGTAATGTTTCTGGCTGTAGGCTGGATGGTTGTGGTTCTAATTATTGTATAGACAGGGATATTTCTATCTGCCACCATGTTCATACTGGTTGTGGGCCCCACGCATCATTCATCTTACTTCTTTGGGGAGAGGAGTGTGATAGAGCATGAAGCTGACCATTCTGCTCCTAGTACCAAGGACTAGAATATGTGGAACTTTGCCTCCATGCCTCCTGTATACTTTCTTGGTGTGGTTCTTAATTGCTAGGAAAACTTTACTTGTACCTTACAGAAACATAAAAATTTCATTCAAAACCAAATGCGTCCATAGAAAATATTTTGCCTGAGAACTGTTACTTTATACAGTTGGATGTCTATTGATCCCTTAATTTAGAGTAATGTCTGTAATCTGCCATATGTAGGAAAATGGTGTGTACTTTGCAGTTAAGTTGTAATACTATAGTAACATAATATGATCGATGACATTGCAACGTACTTCCTGGAAGAATGTGAACATAACATTTGTTGGCCACTATTCACTGATAAACCAGAATGCAACTGTTACTTCCCAGTTCCCAGCAAGAACTGCATGACTCATCATCAAGCACTAGCGTAACATCTTGTTAAGCACTGGTTATTGTCGTGTGTGTGAATATGATTTGATATACTGTTGAACAGCGTGTTTTTGTGTACAAATCGTAAATGATGTGTGGTTCTACTCTGAAGTGTGAGAAAATTTTGTCATAAATTTCCTGGGATCACAGTTTCAAACACAACAGACATTCCTGACCTTATTAATAAATTCAGGTCACTTCTGGAAGGCAGACCTAAAAAAATGCTATGTGGTTACTGGAAAAGAAACCAGTTGTAATAAGGGCTACATTAGAATACACTACAGAAGTCACTGAGGTGCCTCACATAAAAGAATGGATCTCAAAATTGTCAGCAGCTAAAGTAATGAAGCTGGTCTTCAGGTTCAGTGCATGATGGTGATATATACAGAAGAAGGGTTAAAAGAAAACATAGGAGGAACAGTTTTGGTAGTTCTTTAGATGAATTTGAACCTACTTAAATGAGTGTGTGCATGTACAGAGATAGTATTTTTGGCACCTCTTATAATATATGTAAGGTTATTATATTGTTTTTGTGGAGTGGTACTTAACTTGTATTGATCTTGTAGCATTTAGCCAAGAAGTGACAGTTGCATTCCAGTTTGTCATTGAATGTGCTGTATATCTCTGGACATGATCTGGAATTGAATCTACTACGTATTCTGCTAAGGTTTTGGTGTGAATTCTGAGAAAGAATCTACAAAGATCTATGGGCAAATTTCTTATGAAACTTATGGTAATGACAGATTTTTTTATTGTATTTTGTAGTCTGAAGTATTACAAGATATATCAGTACTGGTAAACTTTTCTGTATACTGGCTATTCTTCCATTTTTACACTCCTGTTACTTGAACACAGCCATAGTTGCACAATTTTTAATGCACTTGTTACTACTTTCAATGCAGTTTATTATTTGATATCATATTCTTTTGTAATTTCTGGTAAATTGTTATACTGTCTAGATGTCTGTGATGATTGATTAGTATGTGTATATAGTACAATAATTAGTATTGTGTGGTTGTGTCATTGTTATAACTTTATCCTTCAAAGTCATGTATAATGACATCCAAGTACAAAAGTCCCTCCATTACCAGTCCATGTTACAATAGGCACAGTTTAAGATGAATGCATATAACTTGGTCTTTTGGTTTGCCACTATAGGTAGGTTTCCAAATTCTTCCCCATCAAACCCCCATATATTTTATATTTTATGAGAGCAGTTGGAGCAGCCATATTGCTGCAACTTGCAGTGCAGTATAGTGAACAGTGTCTTTAGAATACATATGGTGTCAACTCTGCTAAAATTTAAACATGTCTCCCATTTATTATGTAAAAGAGTACAACTTTAACATCTGTAGAAACAAAGGCTGTAGCAGAAAGCAGTTATCTCTCATAATAGGCTCTTTCTGTCGAGAGATGCATTATTAGATTTCCTTTCAGCCCTTTTTTAGATGGAGACCAAATTATGAGGCTGTTTTAAATGTTGTTTTCAGTCAGATTAATATTTGTTTCCTTGAATGCCCTCAAACCGCATATTTGATATAAGTAGCAATATTTTGTTTCCCTCTATATCATATTTTTCTTGATTTATCCAGTTGTGTCTTGGCTAACCTGTTCTTCTCATTATTTTCAGTTCTTTGTCTTTCTGTCCTTTCATTGTCTCCAGTTATTTAAAATGCCAAAGTATTGAAATAAATTTTCGTATATAACTACTTAAAACTGTAATATATGTTAGAGAGGGAAGTATTTTGAATGTTTATTCTGACACAAGATATTTAATTGCATCTTGAAACATTTATCCTGCACTGCATATATTTGACTTTAAGTAGGTTCTGAAAAAGTTCTTGTAAATTAATAAAGAAGTTTAAATTTTTTACTGCTGCCTCACCTGTTTTCTGAAAGGAACTGAATTTATGTGAAGAGATTTGCATACTGGTCATTACCATGTTACAACCATTTAATAAGTATATATTAATGAATTTCTGGCACAAAGCTTATTTATTTAGAATCAATGCTTATCTAACTTTGATATTGCCTTGTAGAGAATTTGTGTTAGTTACTGGGTTTTCTCTTTATACCACAAGAAATATGTTTATGGTTCCATCATCCCAGACTAAAAAGGAGGTCAGCCTTGAGGTGTGTAACTTTATGACATTTGTAATGGCAGTGGCAGAATTTATGAGCTGTTGTATATATTATACAGTTTTATTTCTTCTTGTGATTAGCTGCAGGAAAGGCACCATCATTATTATATATGTATTCAGTAAATATTTGCCTTTTATTGATTTGAAGTTACTTTATATAAAAATTTGTGTTGTCAGTTCACAGGGGTCTTTATTGATGATAATATTCATTGCTTTTGGACTGATACTGTAAATTTGTGTTTATCACCTTTCATGTTACAACAGTGTGTGCAGATATCTCATTAAATTTGTAGACAGTTTGAATCCTGTAAACATCTCTAGATCTGAGACAGTATTGTAGTCGTAAGACCAAAATGTTGAATTTCTGTAGGTCATTCTTAAGGCTGACTTTGTTTATTTGTTACAACAGTTGACTCAAAATGTAAATGTAAGAATTACCATGGATCTGTGATAAAGTATACTTAGTTTTTTGGAGGGGGGTGATTATCAAATGAGAACTTTGTTCTTGTGAATGCCCAACTATGAGGTGGGTGAAAATGTTAGACAACTCCTTTACTTGTTGTTATGAATCTGGTATATTAGAGTTTACATTTACCTCTTTGAGTCATTGACTGTGCTGTTAAAATTCTCCCTTTTGCTGTGGTTTATAGCCATTCATCAAATTATACTGCAGTGTTTCCCAACTGGTGGTCTATTTAATGCTGCTTTTCCACAAATTCTGTTTACCTTTGTATTACATCTGTTTTGTAAAGGGGGGGGCTGTTTTACAAGCCGTTGTTCTTTTTCATTAATTTTAGCAGAAAGTAATTCATACAATGTTGGTTGGACCCTGTATCCAGCATCCCAAAATCCAGAAGACTTAAAATCCACATTTCTTTTTTCTGTACTTGTCAAATTTACAACAGCCCCTTCACAGTTCTTTGACTCACCACCATGTGCAAGTGGCACTACTTGATGTTCTTCTTACTGCTAATAGAAGGCAGCTTGCTTGTTTTCACTTGTTTAGTCAGTGGATGGTGGCATGGTGGGCTTTTGCATATTTTTAGATGATAAAAGTGATAACACTCCAGATTTGAGAAGTTTTTTTATTTCTTGTAAAAAACAAATTTTGAATTGTAGATGAAACATACCTCAACAGAAATTTTTATCAAATATTTTGTCTGTATTAAAATTCCTCTGTATAAAGATCCAAAAGCCAGGAACTATATGTGGTCCTGATTGTTTTATGTAGACTGCACAAGAATATAAAATCAAGACAGTTTAGCAGAAGTGTAAGAAATAATGAAAAATGAAATTGGCAGACTTGACTGTGGTGCTTTCTGGATGGATTATAAACTGAATTTCTGGGTGCAAGTCTAAGAAAAATGCTGAGTGTCAAGGTATTAACCCTGATTCATCTACCTCTCTCTTTTATAGTCAATTTTTGTGTGGAAAAGTTCTGACTAACAATGGGTTATAATGATTTTCACTGACAAATGTTGCTTATTCATGTGCAGACTCCAGAAAGTCTGTATGACAGGAGTTCACAAAGGAGCAGAGTATCGTAGTGGAACTGAGTGTTGAGGCTGCCTTGATGTTAAAAAACTGAGTGACATGTTCCGTGCTAAATAAAGGTAATTGGCATTGAGGGGTGTCAATTTGTATTTGTGTTCCCCCTGAGGATAATGTTCATATTGTTGGCTATAATCACAAAGTTTTGTGCATAAGTGGCACCATTCTGATCTATAAGCTCAAATTGACAGTGACTGTGGTCTGGTAATGGAGGCAATATTGTCTGTCAAAATAGAATATTTTGAACAATCTAGGATATATTAAAATTATAATACGTAACTAATGAAGTCAGTTGACGTAAGAAGGAATTATAAATTAATGTAATATTAGCATTTTGTCATTTGTGATGTATGAAGTCATTCTTTAAACTTCCTGTATATTGTCACTTTGTTTATAATGTTTCTGGATTTGTATTTAATTCTTTGTTATAATTTAAGTATGAATAGGTGGGAAGATATAAATACTTACATTTCTATTTGTGGGCTTGTTTTGAAACTTCTGTGAATCGTGGCTGTATAAACATTTGTAAATTTGTTAGACACCTGATTGTTAAATTATGTAATTTTTTTTATAATACATTCCTTTGTGGTTGGTGTGTGAAATGTGATCTCAATTCTCAGGTCTTAATCGTGGCACTAGTTTAAAAATTTTCAGCATTTTGTCTTCTAAACATCACAGTCAAGTAGTTTTCACTCCAATTTCTTATTCAGGAGGTGGTTTGAATGTCAGCCACACTACAAGATATATTGATTAGTCTGTTTTGTGATTATCTTGGTTCCTTCAGGCAAATGCTAGGATAATACTTTAAAGTAGTCCATCATCTCCTTTAAAATTCTTTCACACACTTTTTTTTAGGGGAAGGCACAATAGGCCATTTGAATCTGTAGTACCAAGCGACTATTTTGACTCGACTCTACATTGGCTAGCATTGTGTTTAGCCTTTATGTTGAACAGTTTTTAAGAAAATGATGCACATCACAGCTTAGAACTGAGACCACATATGCTTAATTTTATAAGTGATTGTGATATATGTGTGAGGTTATAGATGTCTTATGATTTTGTAGTGGTTTGTAGTTAATCTTGTTCCATTCCTAGGTGATAATTCCATGTTGTGACGGTCTGGTTTGTTGATTTTGCCGGCTATTTTCATTTTTAAGGAAAAGTAACTATACAGCTACCTGGTGCTGATAATTATGCTTCCAGTCCATCAGACATTTGGGAAGTATGTGTTTTTATTTATGGGTGTGGAGCCAATAGGAAAGCAGATCAGAACTTGGATCATATTCCAGGACATTACCGTCATCATTGGCATAAGTCTTGTGGCCTAGAACTGTAAATATCAGTGCCAGATCAATGTCTATTTACTTGACTTTGACGATGAAAACATCCAGGTTTTCTAAACTGCTGGCGGACCAGCTCACCACATTGCAGTTTCATCACCAAAGAACAGAATCAAGATGGATGATTGATGCTGCAGTGTTCTTTAGAATGGAGAATATGAATTACCTTAAAATAATGAACTTGTTGGTTAGGTTTCTCTGTTAAAATGAAATTTTGTTAACTCTTTATTAACACCAGTTTTAAACAATTATACTGGCATATAGTTACTATTAGAAATGAGTAATATAAATTTCAGCATCACTTCTGTTCTTTAACAGCTATCTGAACCAAATAGAATATCATTTCATACATGTTTTTAACATATTGGCAGCAGATCAATGAAACATCTATGATTTTTAATTTTATTGGGCTGTACTGAATCAAGTACATATCTAGAAACTGGTGATTGTATAGTGTTATGGTCCTTAACATGACATTGGTTTTGAGTTTGAGTAACATTTAAAAAATGCAGCACATACATATATTTCCAATTTTGCTGTTATCCCATTTAAAATAATTTTGAAGAAGCGTTTTTTATAGTACATTCACGGTGCAAAGTGATGAAGTTGAACTGTCATTACAGAATAACTGGTTACTTATTCATTCCTCATGTACCTAACATTGTAGTAGGTGCTGCAAAGAACTCTCTTGCTTCTGGTATTTGGATTGCTTCTTTATGGCCTCATTCCATCCTGTTCCCTTGCATGTGGCTATGTTATGAATACCTTTTCTCGTATGTCACCAACCTAGGCCTTCTTGTTGTCTTGTCTACCATCCTTTTGTAAGGTATTATTGTATTTTCCATTCTATACATATTTTTGAACAATCTTAGCTGTGGATTTTCTGTTATTTTAGTGGTTAGACATGATCATTCTTATTATTTGGTTTAAATTTTTATGTTCTAGTCTGGGAAACAGATTAATTTCAGAATGAAACTGTTAATTTTAAAAATTTACTAAACAATTACCTTAAATTGTAATTGATTGTACATCACCATGCCCATTCTCAGTCTTTACAATGGAGATACCTCATTGGTCACCATTGTGTTAATAGACTTGCTCGGTGTAACTGATGAAGATTGAATGGGATGTGTGTTCATTGCAGTGAGATATGGATTTATTTCAATGAGATACTGATATTGATTTTCCGATTGTCTTGTTTCTGTCTATTAGTCCAATATAGTTAAGGCTGGTTTGTAAGATACTGACCTAATTAACTCAGCACCTGAAAACTCGATAAGATTACTTCAAATTATCAATGAATCCAGTAAATTACTTTGTTGAATGATGCCTATAGTCTACTGTACATTCCAGAATTTAAAAAGAAGAAGATAATTCTTACTACCATTTGTAGCTGTAAAAGTTGAAATAACACATTTTACTTTAAATGTCTAATGGTACCAAAGTATATTTTTGAAAAATGAAAGGAATTGCTTGTAGAGCTAAACTCTGAGATTGGGTGTGGAGTGAATGTTACTGTCCACTGAAATATTGTACATAGTTATTATAGGATTAATCCTCTTTGTGATGACTGTATTCATGATTTGTGTGTGATTAAGATGTGTCATTTCCCTGTGAATTTTTGTAACGTTTATTGTTCAAGTTTGGAGAAGAGTTTATTGTGTGGTTGTCAGATTTACATTATATGTAAAGTATATATATATATATATTTTCCCTTGGTGTAAGGATGGATGCAAGTTTCATGAGAATGTGGGGATTGATGAATGTGCGTGTATATAAGTGAAAAGTGAGCATACTTCACTGTGTCATCTTGATGAACTTTTTTGGAGCTTTGTCTGTAGGCCTATTCTTTCATTGTAGAAATTAATGGTAGTGTGACATTTGCAATTAAAATAATTAAAGGGTACTACTCAACCATCCTGAATGTTAATATGTACCACTGAGTTTATGTGATTAAATCTTACTATATCTATATCTGTATATTCTGTCTAAGCACTTTGGAGCAAATGGGAGTTTCCATGGTGGTTTCATTTAGTGAGCTTTGCCATTAAACCAGCCAGTCACATATCATTTAAGTGTACCAACATGAGACTTAACACAAAACTTATATGATATACAGTCAACTTCAATTTAGTGAGATCAGTATTTGCTGCAGTGATCACATATGAGATGGTTATAGGTTATATTTATTATTGACTGCAAATGGGTTTATACCCGGTGGCAGTGTCCTACAATAACATACAAAACAATGAGACAGAACAGAACAATGAGATACATCAACACAATGAGACAGAACAAAACAATAAACAAAAGGACACAACAAAAACAATAAGACACAACAAACAATGGAAGAAGAAGAAGACATATATTGAATTTCATTGGTTCATTCTTCTTGTGGCTGTGTATACTCATTTCAGATTTTGTGGGCTCATTATTTGTGTTGTATTCACCCAAGAAGTGGTGCATCTTTAGTGGATTTGAAGCTATAACCAGTTTTATTTTCAGAGCTTGAGAAATTTATTTGGTGTTGTTGGAATGGCTGATGGTAAGATATGTTTATGGCTGCTGCATCCCAACAATGAAAATTCAGTAATCATGTTGACTATACTGGTTGAGGGATGCTCGAAATTAATTCGTTACTATGGTTGTACCTGATGTGAGATAGATTTAAAAAGTGAGTGGTTGTACATAATGGAATGTAGGCTTTAGGCTTATGTAACATTTTCTTTGGGATAGTTCATCTACTATAATAAGTTGCAGCCTCTGAAAAACCATATCATCAGGTGCGGGTTAGTGTGTCTTGAATTCAACTCGGATATTTTTTAACACCGTGCGTGACTTTGATGAGATTTGAGGTTTTCATGATGCCTGTCTTCTGAGATGTAGCACCATGTGGTCTGGTCACTGTCAACAAAATTACACAGGGTTACACACCAGAAGACAGCCATCTACATTCTTATTTCTGTTCTTAAGCCCTGAAGATGGAGACAGCATGTTCCTTTGAAATGTTGGTGTCTGCCTACAAGTTCACAAGGCATTATAGCCCAGAAGATCAATGTATCTATTAAAGATTTGATTTTTATCCATAAGTACAGAATACTAGTTACATATAAAAATCTTGGTGCACATCAACCTAAATGCTTTAAGTTTGAGCATAGTAGGGAGAGGTTGTTCTTGTGGTTTCATAAGAAGTGT